AACTAACCCCCCCCCGAGCATGACGTTATATGGTATGGAATAGCCCTTTGGTCAGTTTGGGTTAGCTGTGCTAGCTGTGCTCCCTCCCAGCTTGTTATGCACCTGGCCGAGCAGGAGAAGCTCAAAAAGTCCTTGAGTAGTCTGAGCACTACTTGGCAACAGCTGAAAACATCAGTGTGTTATCAACATTCTTCTGGTACTAAATCCAAAACACAGCACTATGCTAGCTACTGTGAAGAAAATTAACTCTATCCCAGCCAAAACCAGGACAAGTCCCCTAGAGCAGGTTGCCCAAGACCAGGTCCAGGTGGCTTGAGTATTTGCAAGGTTGGAGATTCCACAACCTCTCTGGGCAACAAATAAGATGCTACACAGGACAAAATGCTTTGACTGTCTCTATGCAGTATAAATGAGAACATATTTTGAATTAGTTTTGAAACATAAAGTACTTATAAAACCTATTTTCCAGAATGACAGTATGTGAAAACAGAGATTTCACTTAGAGAAGAGAGCAATATTAAGAACAATAGTTCAGTTTTCCCTGTTTGCATTTGCCTCTCTACATTTACCTTGATCTGAAAAGATTTTCCTTTTTTTAAGAGCTGTGAAAGCATTAGAGTTCACACCTTATTCTTATTTGATCCCTTGGATTTCCACTGACTGTGTTTTCCACAGCAGATACACACAAACTGGCTTACTAGAAGCTAGACTGAGATCACAAATAATTTCCAATATGCCACCAAAGCACTGCCAATAGGCAATGGCTTTTGATCAGTGTTACTTTGTGCTGTGTTTGAATCCAACCCAAGAGTGGAAGGCTCTGCAATCAGTTACCTAATCCACTGAGAGTGCTGCAGTTTTTATATTCGAAAATATTCCAAAGCAGTCACTGTTTATATTGGCTTCAAAACAAAACTAATATAATTCTTTCTTGGTATTTTTTAGAAGAATGTCATCAGCACATGAGACTTAAAACCCACGGCAGCTATGTTTCTTGCAGGCTTGCACGTGTGACATTGTTCAGATATTTCATCCGCTCCCTGCATACCATATTCCTCTCTGAAGAACAAGGACAATACAAAACCGAGGACCGTCTTCAGAATCTTGAACTATTGCTCACCTGTGCTTTTGCCAATTTCTTTTCCAACAGGTCACGCTCCCTTTCTGTTTGTTGTAGACGTTTATTAAGCTCCACTATGTCTCCTTTTAATGAAGCCAGGGCTGCTAGATGAAGCTAGAAGACAAAAGGAAGAAACAAATTAACCAAGTCACAAGCCAGGTAGCAGTAGCGCTTAGAAGAAGATACATACAGCAGCTATAATATCTGTAGATTTCTGCAGTAGTTAATAGGACCTTCAGTATAAGGAACGTCTAAAAGAAATCCACGTGCTACTAAATACTTTTTACATGGAATTATCCTCTCCAGACAGCACACTCATTCCTTCATCAGAAAACACATTATATGGATAAATACAATGAAGTATAATTCAGCTGGAAATGGGTAGATTGGTTCTAACGTTAGTTTAACAGGAAGTAGCTTGAGTCTTGTGTTATAAAGCCTTACATTAAATGTTGACTCAGTTTTGTGTTATAAAAGAAGGTGTCCCATGTTTTGATGCCTTCAGATGTATAGAAGTTATCAGTTTGGTGCTGGGAATAACTCCAAGCACAGGACTTGGTTTTATTTTGCAACTAAAGCTTGCTCCACTTTGATCTACTGCTTTGCATTTGTTGTTCTCCTTAGTCCCACGTCAGTGAGTTTCAGTGATTCTAATCTACTGAAGTCACACATCAAGAACCTGATCTGTTTTTCTTTCTGCAGTAGATCCTTTTGATGAAAGATACGTGCTACATTTAACTGATGGCATGTGGAAGTATATAGCAGACTAGGATAACTAACAGCACCTAGATTACGTTAGCTGCATAACTTAGGAATCAAGAACAATTCTTAAAAGAATCTTACACTTTTAATTAATTCACACCCTCTCCCTATCCTTAAGTATCCCCACTCATCGTCCCACTGAAGGCATCAGCTAGAATTCAACACTCTGTAATACTGACAGTTACAACCAAAAAGTCCAGGAGGAAAACAAGCCACTAATACTCATGTCTTTCTTTGTCATAGTAAAGCACCAACTCCAGGTTACACTGGGTGAGGAAACAAAAGTGACCTTTCACACCGGACCAAGCAACGCAGCAAACGCGGGGCTCTGCTGCCAAAATTCAGACTGAAACGCAGACCCTGTTTCTAGTCCTCCAGCCAGTTTCAGTACCTTCACTCGGACATTTTATTGGGCGGGTCACTTTTGAGTTATTTTTCTTGTTCCATTTCCAGTCAATCTGCTAACGAGTCCTATTCTGATATCACTTTTACCTTTACAATACTGGAAGCCAGCAAAACCATAGGCGTTTTCACATACTGACGTGTGAAAGTAGCCGTGTGACAGCAGAGAGACTAGGTCATTTGGCAACAGCTCCTTCACATACAGGACTCCCATTGTTACGGAAAAGACCACCCCTGGCTTCAAGACAGAAAGTGTAATTTTATAAAGGTTTTTCGATGCAAATACTGCAGTTTAAGTGCAGTGTAACTAGTTATGCTAGAAGCTGCAGACATCCTCATTTGCAAGTTCAGTCAAAAGCATTTTTATTATGTCAGCTACAAAAATGTCTTACACACGTGCAGTTATTCATTTCGGTGTAAATATTCACATACATAATTTTATGTTGCAGTAGGTTTAAAATTCTCGAGGCAGCCTCCTTTTGCAAGTGAAAAACCAGTAATTCAGGCCTGCTACAGGCATATGCTACATCACTTCTTTCAAGTATGTATGCTGAAATCTCTTAATAAAGCCAGAAACACCCTGAATATCTTGAATTATTCTCAGCCTTCAGCAGAAGTCCTTCCTTCCTACCACAGGAAACTATGCACTGGTTTTACAGTGCGGAGAAACAAGAACCAGCCTAATTGTACCAATCTGTTCATAACTGACTTCCAATTTTCAGGAAAGCCAGTGAATTTATAAACCACTGTTTCACCTCATTCCCTTAACAGAGGGGAAGCGTTGCAATGAAGCTCATCAGTTTGTTCATCAGATCTTGCATCCTTCGCCACAGCTTTCAAATAATACATGAAAAAATGGCTTCAATTCTCTAAATTGAATAAACAATGCTACTTAGTCAAGTAAGCAGCATTCCCTTTTGTACACTATAATTAAATGATCACCAGCTGTGGTTTTAATTAAATACCAGACCAATAATGTCCACACACATGGTGCTGGAATATAAAAGGACACCGTTAATTTAAAAATCTCAATGGAAAACCAACTTGTTCTCTGAACAGTGGGACTAATGAGGCGGACTTCCTATGGATTTGTCTTTGTCCTCTTCCCAGCCTGCAGTCAGCTCAGCTCTTCTCCACGTTCCCCTAGCACACCCCAAACTGGGTAAGAAACAGCATGAATTGTGTCTAGTTGTACCGGAACACTGCTGCCTGGCCTGGCAGCTCCTGCCAAACAAGGGTTTCCAATACCCGAGTTACATCAGTCTCCATGTTTAACGCAGGGTCTCTCTTCTCCAGGTTACCAAAGGATTTCTTTACCAATTACAAGGAAAGCTTGTTGCATTTTTTACTACCCAAAATGACCTTTTCCTTTCATAAATTGGACCAGTCCAGTTTCCAATTACTAATAAAACAATAATTAAAAAAAAAGTTACTGAAAGGGCAAACTAGACAACAGGAAGTTATCGTACAGAGAGGAGGGCTTCTTGGGATGCTCATGTATGTACCCGTGCACACAGCAGTAAGTCACATGCAGGCGGTGCCTCCAGCTACTACTGCAATACATAATGAGGTTAACACAGCTAGCGTAGCTGTGTATTCTTGGCAGAGCCAAACTCTCCTCCCCAGTTCCTTAAAAAAGGTGTTACAAAGTATTGCTGCATCTTCCCTTAAGGTGCGAGTGTTCCCGCAGACCATGCTTCCCAGTGTGTTTGCATAGCACACAGCAGGGTGGGAACTGGGACATGGATCTCTGGATGTTGCTGCAACACAAACAAGGAAACATCGGAGCAATGAGCTACAGTCAACAAATATGTCATTCTGGGGGGGAAAAAAGGTCACATTTAGAATTCAAATTTAGTAACCCGAACTATTAAAGTTGGAAATATTCCATTTTAAAATCTCAGTGGGAAGGCAGGAGGTCAGTCACAACTGTAACTCTGCAGCACTGAATCACTACAGGATATGACAACCGAGGAAGAGAGAGGAGAAGGGAGGTAGCCATAGGGCATGCCGCTGGTTTTCTCCCCTCAGCAAACAGTGACAGGCAAGGCAGGGTTACTGTCACTAACATTCATTACAGACATTTATAGTTCAAGGTGAGCTGCCTCTTAATGACACAAGGTTATGAAACAGACCAAAAACTCTGTAGTTTGTAAAAATTAACACAGACACCACAAAGATTTCTGTTTGTACAACATACTGCTCTGGACCTTTAAGCAACAGCTCCCACAAAGAACCACTTCATACAGTGAAAACAGTTGACTGACTAAGCCTGTATTGTTCATAAATTTTATACTGATCCAATGGAGCTAGTACTGAATTCCTGCAGGAAAAAAACCACTATGTGATGCTGATGCACCCGAACTCTCCAATGGACAGGCAAGGTCAACACACACGAGAGCCATGATTGAAAAGGCATCAGGCAAGCCAACCAACTTGCTTCCCTACCATCATCCAAGGAAATCAGAATTCTTTCCAAAAAGAAATTACATGCACAGTATTAATAAAAAATGCATCACCTATCTTAACTTAGAAGCTACAATTTCTATGACATTTTCTGCAAGGGCAACAGTGGGTGACTTACTGAAAGACATATACACCACATTTTATGCCCAATACCACCCTGCCAGGTTTTCACATATAAAATATTTAATAACAATTATTATTTTTTATTGCCTGTTATTAACATAAAATAACAAACTGTGCAGAGCATGCTATCTTTAAAATGCAAACCACTGTACAGCTAAGTTTTGAAAGATAAAATAACCAAAAAAAAAAAAAAAGGCACAAGCTTAGGAAAAGCAACCTCCTGACCTCTCTTTTCCAGCCATCTTTATGACTCCAGTCTTCTCCCCATTATACCTGCTTCTACGAACACCTCATACAATACTGTAGACATGATTTAATGATGTATCATTTGCACAGTGCTTTAAACACTGCTTTTGGTGCTGGGCTTTGTGAAATATTCTATGTGGGCACAATTAAAAAAAAAAAATTGCTGGCAGTCAGGTTTCTCAAGAATTTTGTGGGGAAAAGAATACAAAAGTGGATGGGAGAGTAATATGAACTGAATGCCAAGGAAGCAGGGGACTACTGATGTGTCTGTAGTCCATATTGCTGGAAATGTTCTGAGGCCAGGAACAAAACAAGAGAAAGATGCAAAAGGCAAAGAAGGACGGTACTGAAAAAACGATAGGTTAAGGTTAAAGCACAGCAAAGCAGTACAATTACTCTTATATTCAGCTTTTTTCCCTGCCATTGTGAACTGTGATCCTCATTGCTAAGCCCGATCCACGCTTTTCTTCTTCCTCGTCCTGGAATCGGACTAGTTAAACCATATTGCTAAACCCAGTTGTATTCACTGCATATGTTTGCTATTTTCAACAGAGAAATCACAAAAAGGACCTGAGCACATTGTTCTCTGGGAAATTAAAGAACTTATCTCATCTTTTTCCTCTAGTTTCCTGCCTTCCTCAGCTACAGTACTGCTGCACATCAGCTTGCAGATAGATGTTTGGAAATGTTCCCTGACATAACAAGGGAGCCATAAAAACATCAAGATCGTGGTAAGGAAATACCAACCCATATACCAATACAAAGCAGCCAAACACCAAAAGACCCATTTATTTGTTCTAGTCCAGGCCAACAAGGGGGAGGTGTATGTGTGGCTCTGCACAACATAGCATACAGAACCCAGAAAACTAGACAAAGAATTTCAGAAAGAACAATGGGCTTGAGCTGGCTTCAACCCATGGATGCACATCTTCCTAGCAAGATTGGGGACGCCCAGCATTGTGACAATGAGCGTGTTAAAGAGTCTGGTAACGGGGATCACATTGGCGTCATGATTGAACTGTGTGTTGCAACTGCTGTATTCTGCATTTGTATCATGTTTCAGTATGGTTTGTATGACTGCTAAGTCAGAAATCTCATGTAATATCAATCATCTT